CCACGGGGCGCAGCCCCGTGGTGTGCGGATTTCCCTTTTCTGACAGGCTATTATCTGGCACTCACATATATTGAACTGAGCCAGACACAAAACACGCCACGGGGCGCAGCCCCGTGGTGTGGGGGTTTCTCTTCTCTGATTTGAGTAGAAGAAAAAGAGTACATATATATAAAATAGAGCCAGGGATGACTCGTCCTGCCAGCTGTCATGGCCTACTTCTACGAGTATTAAGTTTGACCTGACTAGCATGGCGAAACCACCGCCCTACCACCGTGTATGAATTGAGAGAAAGCAATGGTATACCGCAAATTTGATGAGCCGGCGCACATCACCGCCGGGGCGAGAACGCGCAGGTGCAAGCTGCCCGGCAGCTGGCGCCGGCGGTTAAAGGCGGGCACCCAAATGCGAGACGAAGCGGGCGGTCATCCGTGCCATCCATCCATGACCGTGGGATGGGTCCTGGCCGGCCTACATGAAGCGTCAGGATGATGAAGCCCTTCAAAGTTCGAAGTCCGCACGGAGTTCGGACGTGAGGTTGTAACCTGCTTATTATGTGCGGGCTACGATGTTCGCGAGGGCACCGGGCTGGCTACGTATAGGCCATTCGACGGGGCTGAAGGTGGCTGGAAAGACGTAGTGGTGAGAAGGAACGGGGAGTTGCAAGCGCGCGGGCAGGGGCGGAGGTGTACTTACTATGTAACACGAAGTGATCGTGACAGTAAAAAGCACAAGGGGAAACAGGCAAAGGAACGTACACATCATCAGCGAACACTTCACGGCAAGCTTACCGCAAATTAAGCAATCTTATCCTACGAGCCGATCGTTTCGATGTTCATAATCGTTATCATCACATATTGGTACAAGACGTGAGCATACGATACATATCAAAAACAGGAAGCAACAAAGATAAACAGGTGCAGGATCAGCAAGGAGATGGTGAAAGATGGGCGCCACAACGCCGCTTCTAGTCAGAGAAGCCCTTGTTTTCGACCGGTTCGTCCGAGAAGTCGCCATCGTAGTCAATCCAAACCGAGTGGGGAGAGCAAGTTCAACCCCAGGCGAAGCCACGGCCGACGCCTGTCCTGGCCTGTCGGCAAGGTAAAGGGAAACCGGCCGACAACAATGTCACGACAAGCGCCGGACTGCCCATGCGATCAAGCCGAGCCAGGCAAAATGGAAGAAGCAGGCCGGCGACGAACGCGAAGACGACAGCGATGGCTCCGAGTATATGCCAACGGATGCCGCGAACGACGACGGGAACGAATTTGATGGCCATGCTGGAGAGGGGCCGGGCGGCCTGTGAGGCCTGGAAGGGGTGCGCCGTGGTGGCGAATGCTGTTCCTGCGCTACGAGACGCGCACCAAAAGGCGCGTACATGTTGACCAATGCGTGGGAATGTCGCTCTACTACTCCTCCTCCCTCCGTCTCTCTCCCTCTCCCTGGTATCCGACTCCAATGTCGAGTGCAGTTCACATTCTCGAAGCCTGTCGGCGCCGAGGACAGCAGCGGTGACGAAGGTGCCAGTTCAAGGGAAAAGGAAAAGCAGCCCGTTCGGTGTTCTGCGCGGCGGATCGAACGTCAGCCGCTACCACCGCGCTCAAATGTAAGTCGGACGTACCTTATATCATTCAAATCGATTGATTATTAATGACGAACAGGGTGACGCCAAAGAGTCTGCTAGAAGCAGGTCAGGTTCTCTGCCGCCGTGCTGGAGGGTGCGTCACAAACTTACCAGCATCACCGCAATCGGCTCTAGCGCCAGCAGGCCGGTAAAGGGAAAGAGAACCTGCGAAGGCAGTGAATAAGACCACCGAGCAGGAGAGGAAAAACTCGCTTATTTATTCGTGCAAGCGCCGATGACACCGGCAAGGCCGGTGAGAACGTCCAGATGGAGCCTAAAAAGGACGAGCTTCGGCCGTAATCGATGAATCGAGAGTTAGTGGTCCTTCTCACAATTCGCTGAAATACCGCGCTGATGTCCCTCGCCAGCCTGCCAAGCAGGAGGACCTCGACAAGCTCGGCCAAGACGTAGAGGTGAGCAGATCCTATAGATCTCGAGTACACGGGGCGCAGGTGCATGGGCGCGGGCAGATGGGGAGTGCAAGGGCACGCGGAGGTGCGGGCGCTCGTCAGCAGAATGGTAGAAGGGAGTCGATGGAAAGGGAGATCCCTTGCCTTGGGCGGCGACACACCCGAGACACAATATGTCTACAGGGCGCGCAATCCTTGCCAGAGTACCGTGCCGCTCGGGGCGCAGGACGAGGAGGGCGAGGGGGCGGTGTAGGCAGCCATGGTGGTGGTGAGAGGGAAGATCGATGGTGGAAGGAACGAGGCGGCCACAACGACTGAGACGCGCGCGGGTTCAGTCGCGCCACACGCCTCCTGCCTCCTACCACCACCATGGCCGCGCTTCACCCTCTCCCGCTCCTCGCCTCCCTTGGGGCCCCTGCGCAGGGTTCCACTCTCCTAGACATATTGCGTCTGGAGTGCGCTGGTACTTCGTGCAGGCTTCAGGACGTGCACGCTGCCTCTACCGCTGAACATCAGTATCTGCCGTTCCCATCGCCACGGCGGTCTGGGTTGACCCCACGCTTCCGTGGCCACCTCGTCAACCAGTACGGCTGTATGGTCTTTAGCGGCGACGCTGTGAGGACCTTCTGGGTCGACGACGCCTAGATTTGGAACTTCTTCAATCGGGCGGACGTTGACGAATTTCTGGTAACGGTAAGCAGTATTCAAGAGATCTTTCACCTCGCTGATGCTTACATAGCACACGGGAGATTTTTAGCCAGATTATCATAATTCGCCCCCAGCATCATCAGTAAGTATCTGCTTATCCCGACACTCTAAATGGCTAACGCCGCTTAGACTTCGCACTCTTCGCGCGATGTTGTTGCTTCGCGCGCGTTAGGCAAGGGAGGCAATGTCTTGCTGTATCTCATTCCAATTGCTAATGGCTCTTCAGAAACGAGCCCGCGATCTCGTCGAAGACGATGGGCGCCACCTTCGCGCAAGGTGAGCCTCGAGCGCTGTGCCCTGACTAATCCCTCTGACAGCGCGCTTTACAGAAACGCTATCACGAGGACGTCGGAGACGAGATCAAGGAAGACACGCCTCCTCCGTACATCTCGCCCTTAACCTCTGAATGTGTCCATAGAACTGATCTGTTTCGCAGGAATTGGAAGGCCATTGCTGTGGTACCTGTCGTCTTATCGAGGGCGGCGATGATGAATCGGAGGTCCCCCGCTTGTACGCCGAGCTTGCCAATATCATGACTGGTGGCCGCAAGGTCTGTGATCCTGATATATCCCCGCATATCATCGCTAATGTATCTCAAGGTCTAGGTATCTATTGATAGCCGCCAATCCTATCATAGCTACGCATTTTCTGGTCTCTCACTTGACTGCGTCATCCTCGCTCTGACGTTTTCTATGATAGACCGCCTGCCTCACTGACATTCCTTGACCCCCCCACGCCGTCCTCTTTGTCTCTGACGTGCTACATGTAAATCCGCCCCAATACAAGCTACTCGGATATTCGTTGAATGCATGTGCCTCTAACCCAGTCTCGTGGGCCCGCTTTGATGTCTGCAACCCGTTCATACAAGCGCCTCAGCCCGTGAGGGGGGGAGCTGTCCTGTCACGACGGTATCAGTCGGTAAGCTTGCGACAGTCCAATCCCCGAATCTGCTCCGCCAACTCAGACGCCGCCACGGTGCATGGTGATGAATTCGCAACCCATTTCGCCGGAGCTGTGTGAAGGGTCGCTAACGCCGTACCCCAAATCTCGTCACCATTTTGATCTCGCTTGGGAGCAGCGGCAGGGAGCGCTGTGAATCATTGGGCGGCCCGAGCGCCGGATTGAGTACGCCGCACGCAGATCATAACTGTCTGCACGCCCTCAGCGCCAAAGCCCGTTGAACCACATGCCGCTGATCACCGCTCTCGGTGAAAGGCGGCGATCAATGACCAAATGATTTGACAGCGGCGCGTCGCGACATCGGGCCGACGGGGATGATCAGCGCTTGACAGCAAACAGCCTCTTCCTTGAACCACCACGGCGACGATGCAAAGTCTCAGGCTCATGGATATCTGCGCTGAGTACGGAAGGGCGAGTTATCGAAAAGGCATCTCTCTACGTCTGCCTGGCGCTAGTGCACCAACTCCTGTGTGCCACCACGATATACCACTCGGTTTTCAGGCAGAGCTTCGCGTCGTCGCACAGCGGATCGTTGAGGCGATGACTAACCAGAGTGAGTAGTATTCTCATGGCCATAAGACTTTATTGACGGAGTTATTAGTTGCCATCAAATGGAACTCTCGAAGTTACGGCGCCACCATCGGCAGACAGAACGGCGACCAGCCAGACTTCGAGGCTCTGTTACAAGAGCAGTACCCTCCGCTATCAGAGCAGCAACCAACGAACACGCCCTTCAGTGTCATTGATGACGTGGAGGATCTTGTATTTCTCTATCTGCCGGATTTGCTACTACCCGAACGCCAGGTGAGGTCCTCGTACACGAGGTCTTGTCCCAGGCTTATCGGCAATAGACCGCCATTGCCAATTCAGTGCTCTTATCCTCCGACGCCATAGCGGCACATCCGCCCAAGCCAGATAACGCCGGGAAGACTTTGCGCTGGCGGAATTCCCGGTACCTCTTCGCTCGGAACGACGACCTAGTCTTTGGCCGCGGCATGATCACCGTATCACCAGGCTGGCTAGCGCAGGGACAGGATGTGAGTATGGCTTCCGCTGTCGTCCTGCTATCTTGATGTCCTGACCCACAAACGGCAGGGATATAACGACAAATTGTATGTATCTCGCGACCTCGCAGCTCCTCCTGGGCGAGCCGACAATGCAGCGCAGATCAGCGCGCAAGCATGGGTGGGGGCCAATTTTGAAACAGGACTGCTCTTATCGACAGCTCTGGCAATTGCCCACCCAGATCAATACCACGAAACCAGACAGGCCCTGGGGTACCTGGCAACCCTCCCCGATTTCACGAATCATCTGGAGACGTGGACGTTCGCCTTTAACGCCGTGACTCTCATCTGTAACCGGCTGACGCCATTGCATCGAGACCGGTCTAGCGGAGGAACTGAGTTTCTTGATTTAATGCTCTCGATAGGCGGCGGTCCGCGGACCATTCTGTCTCTCCCTGGCCTTGGGGTACGTGTTCAGTATGACTCTGGAGCTGCAGCGATGTTTTCGGGTCATCAGCACCTGCATGAAGTCTGGGGATTTGAGGAGGAGTGAGCCTGCATCGCTTGCTATGCTCGCGCGCCAGTGATACGCTGGCTGGGACGCAGACATCCTGCAACTCCTTCTGGTCCAGCCACTCTTCCCGAAGGATGGTGGGAGGCCCTTGCGACGTTGCCAGAAGTTCGCCAATGTGGCGCACACAAGTAGGTCGTTACATGCCATACTGTATCCGACTCTGATGATCACGGAATGATAACTAGAGATGAAAAGCCTCAAGAACGCTGACGGAAGGGTGAGAAGAAGGACGGATGATATATATCTTATGAACGGGCTAGTCATTGCAATTCATCGGTTATGATATCGGATACTTCTGCGTTGAAAGACTGTCTGGCGTGCGCGGCAAGGTCAAGCCACGCGTGCATATTCTGCAAGGCGTGAGCTCGTAGACCAGCAAACTCGTCAGCCGAACCCTCGGCGATAGGCAGCAATCGACCCCGACGACGCCAAGAATACGCCAGGGATAGGTACCCTAGGTAACATGTCTGCATTTCCCCCTGCAGCATGAACTCTTCCTCTTCGCACCGAACTACTGCGCACTTCGCGTTGATCCAACGAGTGCGGAAAACTGAGGCAAGTTCAGTTTTTGCACACTGCTCATCATATTCATCGCAACTCACAGTTCCCGATGAAGGTCTCGTCGTCATCCACGGAATGATCTCCGCCACCCGGCGATCCAGTATCGCTGGTCGAAATGGCGTGCTGCATGCGCCAGAACCAAGGTAGCGCGAAATTGCCTCGTGTTCGTACATCGTTATACATTTCGTACGTGGCCGTGGAGCAGCGGATGTGCTCCGCCAAAATGGGTTTGTATCGCTGTCTCAGCGTAGCGTAGCGTGCGAGAGCTTGTGGCGTGTCGTCCCAGAAGCAGAGCTGTAAGCGACGCAGATGATGGTTATATATGGCTGCGTGTACTCGGACATCCTTCGTCTGTTGTCGGGCATGGATCCAAGCGTTAGTTCGGTCGCGATAATTCGCGGAGCCCTTGCCCTTCTTGTTACGGATGGCGAGTCGATACCCTTGGGCTTGATCGCACAAGCCTTCCCTCGTTGCTTGTAAGCGTTCGATCATGTCGGCGACTCTCAATTCTATCTCAAAATCCATGGCTCGTCGCCCCTGTTCGCTCAAACGCCCTTTCTCCCGCTGCATAGATGGCCATCCGGATGGTAGGGCGACTGGTCGGAACTCTGGCTTGGGGCGGAGGTGATGGTGGTGCGCGGTGTTAATGTCGTCCGACCATTCGTCTTCATCAAGAAGTCTTGCCAATTTTGCCGGCAGTAGATCTTCGTCTTGAACGTCCACGTCAAGCAAACTCGCGAGCTGTCGGTTCGCTCGCGACCGGCGATTGTCGAATCTGGTCCTAGCAATCGCAGCTGTTCGACGATCGTCCACAGATGAGCCCCAATCTTTGCCTTGCGCCTGAATCCGGAGGCTGATGCGATGAAAAGTTGTTTTGCACCCAAGCCTCTAGAAGACTTACCTATCTTCTTCTAGTTTCAACGACTCTATGATTGCTTTGACAAGCCCGTCCTTGTCATCCTCCAGCAACCGAACCTTGGTTATCTCCTTTCCCGGCTCTACTCGTGACACGCATTCAATTGATGCCCCGCACGGAATACGCTGCAGGCGTACCTGCTGAAGTAAAGGGGCTATCCCAGAATTTGTCGGCAAAACGAGGATCCTTTACGCGTTTCTCCTCCAGATCGCGCCGCGCTAACTCCCACCGTTCAATATCCTCATCGCTGCAGGAAAGCTCCAGGCGTGATAAATGACGACGGCGAACTCGAAGTTCGGTGGTATATTTCCGATACTTCCTCACCAAAGTGCCGACTAAGGGAATGTTGAGCGTTTCGTTCTCCCAGGGTAATGATGAGCTTACCCATTTCCACGATCTTGCGATAGTTAATGTCATTCATGTGCATATTGATCTTCTCCTCTCGTGCCGCGAGAGACATGCCCCTGCAAGACTGCAGGATCCCGTTTAATAGCGACCACAGCGTCTCTAGAATTTCGCCATCCACGATACCAGCGCGCGGTGAATAGGATGGTGAAAACCGGCGAAAGCAGTCGAGCGCATGGCCGTAGATATGCCAGACTCCGACGCCCTGGAGCAGTTCTCGGAATTTAGGCCAATTCAGCCCACTGTGTTTGAATCGCTTCACGACGTGGACACCGTAGCGGCACCATATGTCGTACAACAGCTGAGCTCGAGTGATCTGTTCCGTGATGGTGTGGTGAAAGGCAGAATCTAAGCTCTTATCCACGGGGTTCTGGCTAGGGTCCCTTGATTAGCTACACCGAGCTCGCCAGTTATAGATCTTTACCTTTCTCCCAGGTTGAAATTGTTTGTAGCGCACGCGCAGAAGCAACCATGTCGGGAGCAAGCCCAAGATCCTATACCTTTAATGTCTATGACCTTGCTCCTTACTTTTCCCAGTCCCGACGCTGCTCGGTGTTCATGACACGGCTGGTCATTCGCATGCTTCGATGTTCCCCTCAGCACTTGCCAGGTTAACGACTAGATCAAGCTTACTAGATTTGGGTATATCTGGCGAAGCGCCCTGTCGTCAAGGCTCTTCACTTCGTAAGCGGCGATAGCATCGGGATGGCCAAACATGCCGGTGCCCGGAAAGAGCGGTACATTGTTTCCCGGTCTCCAAGAGATTGTGTGATCGCCGCTGAAGTTACCATCGTAGCAGAGCGAGACGAACTTGCGCCATTCTTCGGGATCGGTCTGCCAAACCTTCGGCAGGTTATTGAAATCTGGCGTCTTGCGGGGACAAACGATGCATTTCCAAACAAGACCACCTGGCGGGGGGTCACGCCAGTCCTGCAGGGGTCGAGACGCAAAGCCGAAATCTATCAGATTCTTGATAGCAGTGTACAGACGCGAGACCAGCAGCAGCTCCGGATATCGGTTCTACGATTGTAGCATCAGTGCCTCGTTAACAAGAGTTCCGGTAGACTGCGTACGGGAGCGAGGCGTAACTCATCCGGCTCGGTGCAGCGCCTGATCTTCCGCATATGAGCTTGCGGCGTGGTTTTGCAGATCACGTCGTCCACATGCCTATACTCCAGAAACTGGAGGGTAAAGGCGCTGGACGGGGTATCCGGAGACGCCGGGAATAGACCACCGTATTTGATCAGCTGGTGGTCCTCGGGAGGTGCACCTTGACATCGGCAAAACCCAACACCAATACCGTGGATGCCGTCGGTATGGGTTACAACGAGAGTTCGATAACCGTACCAGTCTCTTGTAGGAATAGACGATTGACTTCCTTCCCGCGCCACCCCGGGCGAGAATTGGTCTTGAGAGTGAGGGCCGTCGTACCCATCGTCCTGTGACCCTATAGGCTGATATTCATCGTCTCCGTCAGGGCCGGCAGTCAGCACAACATCTTCCGTCTCCCCTTCGTCAATGTCGCCGAACTCAGGTGGAAGGTGAACACGCTCATCGGGCCGTAGAGCTCCAGTCAGAGGATCGTTTGCGACGGGATCGCTCACCGCCGCGTGGCGATCAGATTGAGAATCCCAAGAAAAGCTACCGTAGGACGGCGGTGGCTCCGCGTCCTTCTCGTCGAACGCGACTTGTCGGCCAGGGTTCTGTGGACAGCTCTCACCGGGAGGAGCATTTGGGCACAGGTGAATCGCCACCCCGGCGTCCTGCAGCCAGGCTTTACAATAATGCTGGCCGGTCCACCAGCCGACAAAGTGAAACGGATTATTCCAATGACTTCGGCGGACGCAAGACGAGCAAAAGTCTCTTCTCCCAACACAATGCGCACAGCGCCAACGCGCCACTCCCACCTGGCGACATAAGCTGCACCTAAGGTCCACCGGCGGCGCATGGCGAAAAGCGATGATGAGATGCGAGTATCCTGGTGCGAGGTTCCTTTCCTGGAATTGCCGCAGGTAATCCACTTGAGTCTGACGGTCATGTGAGCACAACGTGGAAGCGAAGCGTTTCCGTTCTCTCTCACCTTGCCCTCGCTCGTTCGTTGCTCCTGCAGGCCATCCGGATCTTCTTGAGCCGCAACGGGTACGCCAAACATATCAACTCTCGTACTTCCGTCTAAATTGTCGAGTGCGCCGGCAAAATTAACGGGCGCGCTGTTGCTCGTAGATCCTGGCCCGCCAGCGCTGCTGAGGCGGTGGCCAGGCGATTCATTGCGATCTACTTCATCGCTTCGCCCGGCTGTGTTGCCTTTCGCATTTGACCAAATCTGTTGAGCGTCCGGACCTCTGAAAGCCGGCTCCCAGGCGATGTTAGCGTTCGGTACCCTCGTCGCTCGGCCAGGTCCAGCAGCTGCGGCAAGTCTCTCGCGAGGACCAGGATTATTGATATAGTGTCTGGGGCCAGCGCCGAGGCGCTTTGTGCTTGCGTTCGCGCTTGCGGTCCGATTTGTTACCCGATAACGGTAATGTGATTCGTTAGACATCGGGCATCCAGTCGTTGCGCCAGAGAAGTCAGTGGGGGGATGAGGCAAACAGCGAACAGAACCTGCTGAAACAGATGGCGCTGCTCAGACGTGCCTCTCATTTAGAGTATGCTGGTTGCAATGTAGCTCCAAAACGAATTGAGCTATTTTCACGCTCAGGGACGTCGGTGACAGCCGATCCGTCTCTCATTCTGCGAGTTATCAATTCATATTATGCAGACATCCCAGCTGTCTAGTCTTACAGATCTTGGCCCTTGGCCTGTCGTACGCCCTATGCAGGTCTATAATCGATACAATCAAAACCCCATCTGTCCGTCTACATCTTATCTCACAAGGGGTTCAGATACCGACGCAATGTCCGCAGTATGATCGTTGCTCAGCCTGTGGCGCTCAAGGACAGCGCCCGAATATGATGGGAACGTGAGGTATTTGTCCTCCCAGCGTCCCGAACCTGTCTGGCCACACGGCCGGTGCGTTGTTAGTTCTACCGAAACCCCCACCATCCGCCTTAGAACATCATGGCGCGCAAAGCCCTCTCTTACGGCGAGATTGCAGACACCGTCCTTCCCTCCGCGGTTTTCACCGTCGACAATCTGAGCGTACTCGCTAAGGATATTGACACTTACGTTCAACTTCCACCGCACGATCGACCAGCTTTCATGCGGGACAAAATGGACAGCATCTGGTCAGAAGCTATCGATTGGTCTTGCAGGCCTCAGACTCCAGAGTTCAAGAACCAGTGGTCTGTCAGTCAATTTCAAGATGTCCAGTTCTGCGAGGATATATTAATCAACATTAACACAGGCTTTGAAACGTTATTACAAAGAGCAGGGGCGCATTCGAGGACCACCAGCTTTACCCGAGAAGCTCAGTACCCGTAAATGGACGGGCTTACGGGTCTGCGGCATTGTCTATCGCGACTCTATTGATGAGATGGTTTATCTGGGTACGGGAATGAGACCCGGCGACACCAGAGGCTATATCGGCCACCGAATCAAGTGCCGCACAGTGTTTTACTGGAAGTTGCCTCCTCAAGAGAGGCTCCAGTTAACCGACATGGCGAAAGAATGGCAGGCCGGTGCCGCACCGGCCGAACAAAAGATGGAGTAAGATTCAGCGTTATCCGGCGTTTCGGCGATAGCACTGATTTGCAATATTCAGGGCGTACTATCGCCGGTTTCAGACATGGATTAGAAATGTGCACCTGACGGCTTTGCGCGAGTTCGGGCAGCATCTGGTGACAATGGCAATACCTGAGCCTGGATTAACAAACCCCCCCCGCCTGTGAGCCGCGCCGCGAGGCTCACCTTCTTCCGCACATCTAATGACCTGGTCAGACACGAATTCATGCACGAATTGCGAATACTCGACAAGCCCCTCGTCAAGACTGTTCCTGTTGGAGATACTTTGTCTGATATCTATCGTGAGGTTAATCACGCCGCAGGTGACCTCATTCGCCTATCCAGTCCACCGATCATTGGCTCACAAGCCGCGCAGGACGTATCGAGGGTGCCGCTCTGCCTACGTTGCTCAACAAGAAGTCGAGATTGAAACGCAAAACAACTTGGACTATCGACGAGACCAGTTTCTTTGGACACGACGAGCTCGTACTCAGCGAAGACGAGTTCGACGAGGAATTGTTTTTCAAGGAGGCAATATCTATGGTGTACACAATTGTAAGGATGGCGCACAGTGAGTTTCGGCACCGATGTCCAGCGCTTTTCTCACGTCCTGCGACAGGCAACATTTCTAGCTATCGAGACCTAGATCCCCCATGGGCGTCCTTTCATCAGTTGGTGGACAGCAAATACTTACTGCCCGATACGCCTATGAGTATCCCAACTGCTCTTCGCCAGCCTAACTGCTTCAAATACCTGAAACATTGGTTCAAGGTGACGAAGGGGCTGAAGTTCAATCAGTGGCAGAGAAAGAATAGCTTGCCTATGGACCCCGTACCCCAAGCCGACAGGTGGTGGGCGAGCTCGATACCAAGCTACTTGCGTTCAACAGAGACCATCCCGGCGGCGGCGGTAGCGGCGCTCGACTTTGTGCCCACGATCGTTCATTCACCGCGGACTGAAGGCTCGCCGATGGCGCTTTCGCCTTATGGGAGCCAAGGAGGCCACATTGTACACGGCGACAGCGACCGTGAGCAGGACGCTCTGGAGATGCTGGACATTCCTTCTATTCCCGATCCGGACGACTTGCTTCCTGTTACTGCTTCAGCAGAGCATGCTAGTACGATGTCTGCCCAGGACGACATTCCGCCTTACCTCGTCCCAATGAACAGCGAGGCCCGGGGGCAATGGAGCATCTCACAGCTGCAAAACTCCTGCCGTGGCCTGTCTGCACGTAGTACCCGGTGCTTAAGATCCGCAGTACGCCAATTGGTCGAATTACCCTTGAGTTTGACAACATACCGCGTTGAGAAAGCGGAGTGTCTAAAGCATTCTAGATGATTCCCAACTGTTCTTACCCCCTCAAGGCCGCAGGAAGACGAGTCCAGCTTCCCGATGACATGCGTTGGACGATGTGCACAGCAATGCCGCCTGCTTCAGCAGACATAAGCGCGTGGATCGTATTTCTGCAGGGATCGCCGTGGAAGCTTGTTGAAGCTGGTGTTGAGTCTTTCGCAGGGACAGAGTTAGTGTGGACGTTTGTATTGGGTTGGATCTCGTACTTGCGAGGCTACTCTGCAGCCGGAGGATTGTCGACAGGCGATGATGGCGTGGCGGCATTTACGATTGGTTGCGCAACCTTTACCGCAGTCTTCGAGGAGTTCTCGCAGGACTTGTCACAATACGCGGACAAATATCAGTACCCAGGATGGGCGCCCTCCAGTAGGTATGCCCTGGCAAATTCCCGGACGCACTATCTCGCATACCTTGTGCGGAATGAGGAGCACGATGTTCTTCTGCCTCTATTGCGCCTGGTCACACGAATGGTAGGTTTTGTTGTTGCACCGCGTTTCCACCCCTCTGATTTATCGACCAGGAACCGGGCAATCTGGAGTCCCCTTTCTTTGTGGTCCCACATACATCATCGAGAGACGCCCCGTCATGGATCACAGAACATCATGGAGTACCATCCTGGCAGTGGCAACGCTGCGGACTTCCGCCCTCTTCACATACCCTTCCCCATCTCTCTCAGATAATCCTCGAATGGCTTAAGCGACCCGACCTTCTTGTCGATATGCATGCCGGCAAACCACGTTCCCGGGAAACCGGCTTGGCTGTCATACTGAAGATCGCTCTGATATTCGCCGACCTCGAGAATCTCGACGATGAAAATTGGACCTACTCCGGCGCTGCGTCTTTGCAACATTCTACATTGAGACCCCATGTTGGCCAGCTCAAAAGTGCGATCGCGGAGTGGGCGAATGATACCGCTGTTCGTCTAGAGGGGCTACTACCCGTCCTTGACGATCTAGAGCTGCTCGGAGAGGCGGAGCTTGACGCAGAGTGCCCGGGGTCGGATGCCTTTAACGGTGCGAATGGCGCAAGCGCCAGCGATGACTCTCGCTCTATGCGGAAGCCAGCAAGCGACTTCAGGCCCAGCAACATGGACGCCGCTTTCCTTGCTGTTGAGATGGATGACATTCACCTTCCTCATACCGTGCAGGAATATCGACAAGCTATGGACGACGAGCCACGCACGGCGGTGCAAGAGCTGACTCGTAAGAGTCTGCAAGGCCTGGCCGCATTGGAAGACAGAAAGCACGCGAACCGCTTGCTCAGAGCAGGGATTTCCGAACCCAACCTCGGCTCTCGCGCAAAAAAGGCAGCTCGAGCGCCGGCACCCAAGATCACCGCCGGTGCGTGGCAGCCGATGCCTGCCGAGACTCTCTCTTCCCCTCAGTCCGATGAAGAAGACGCGCCGCCGCCAAAGAAGAGACGCAGGACGATGGTGATCAGGAAGCCCAGGCTAGCGGGTCAGGATCAAACACCGCGCACGGCGGGACGTAAGCCAAAGCAGGCACAACGGCAGACTGTACCCCCCGCGCGCGGCGCTCGAAAGAAGGGCGCCGCAAGGAATGCTCGCGGCGGTGGGAGGAAGCGGAAGATCAAGACCCCAGAGCCGGCTTCCGAAAGCTCGTCCCAAAGCGACGTTGATGGGTCGCACCGCCAGTCTGACAGTCGCGGTGTCTCAGACGCTGGTAGCGATAGCGATGAAATGCCGGCGTACATCAGCATTCAACGCCGATCGCGATACAGCAATCTCATTCGGCCGGTGACATTTGATGCAGAGGGCACCACCACCAGTGGTCTAGATAGCGACGCTATAGGGTCAGCACTGTCTGCCCATCCTCCCCCTCCGCGCCGCTTGGCGTTTGTGGAGCCCCGTGAACCTATGGTGCTTGCCACGCCGAGGGTGAGTACGCGGCGTTCACAGCGGGTGCGACCACCTTCCACCGCCGCGCAGCAGGGCGACATCTCAGTGGTGGGCGATACAGCAGTCCCTTTCATCAACGTTACCCCAGCAGATGGTCTCAGACGTAGTTCTCGGCGTCTTGAGCGTTCTCATGTAGCAGGGCGTTGATACTCGGTATTGGGATTGTAGTACAAAGCCGGCCGATCGATGTAGGCGTTCTCGCACGAAGTTTTAGCCCGCGGCGACTTCAAATTCCGCCTTCAAGCACTGGGCGCCATAGCCAAATATGAGAGGCTGTAGGTAGAAAGCCTTTCTGCTTGCATACCCTGTCAGCCTACAACCCTAGGGCGGGCGGATCGGTGTTCAATCGCATCACCAGGGCACGAGAAGATTACTTAATTACACAGGATTCAAGAGTCCATAGTAAGCGCAGACTCAAACTGCGGACGTCCCAGACGCTTCCCTGACGATCAGTTAATACCTGAGGTCAACTGAATCCTCCGCGCGCCGGAGGCGAGTCGACCTGGTGAATTCACAGTCTCGTCCCATTCATCTGGTGCCCCCGAGCCCGACAGCCCATCCAATGGGGGCTGGAAATGAATGCCCTCAAGCATTGGGCAAAGATAGACGCCGCCGGTGCCTGGACTATTCAGGGCTAGGGCAAGGGCATCAAGATGCTCGAACGCCATGCACCCCTCCATGTTCTGCTTGAACTGGGTGTCGGTGGCAAGCAAAGGGCTGTCAAAGTGTAGCTTTTTGAGCCCCGTGAATCTCCCGAGGATGTGTTGATACCCTAGAGAGCGATCGGGCAGCCAGCTGTCCTTCGCAAAGACAAACTCGCGCACGAGACGCTCGGACCGGGAAGCGCGTCCGTCTGGGAGAAGGCCCAGCACATATTGAAGGGTGTCGTACAACGCCTTCGGATATTGGGTGTTGAAGTCGCGCTCTCTGTCTTGCCAGGAGACTTGATTGTCCCGGAAACTGAGAGATCGACGAGCGGCGAGCTTATCACCCAGCTCCAGACTCCCTCCCGCGCCGTGACCAACGGGGTCCTGCAACACCGGTCGAAGTTCATAAAGCGACTGCGCCAGAGTGACGCCGACGAACTCAGGAAACCTCGCCGCCGCAGGCTCAGAGGCGTCGGTGTTTGGATCGAGGCGTACATCCAGCCCCATCACCGCCGATGAGCGCCGCCAAAGCACTGCGGCTGGATCAGCAGGGTTCGCCTGGTGATCTGCGGGGTGGGCGCAGTGGATCATGCGGGTGCGATGGGGTTCCGCTAGATCTTGAGCGAACGTCTGCGGCCGTCGCCATTCACAGTCGAATCTTTCTGGGGCATGCTCGGAAGGCCAAAAGGGGACCTCGTATATTCCCGGGTGCTTTGCCGTAAAGCACTCTCTCCAGGACTCGACCTGCTCGAGATGCAGGTCAAGAGCGTAGGGTAGAACGAGCTTGCCAAGCAGGAGGGCCCCAAACAAGGGATCCGTGCAAAGCCGGAAGTACCGAAGTTTAAGAAACGTAATGGTGCCCTCGATATCGGCAAGGAAGCCTCCAGCGATGTCGATCGTCAGATACTCGAGGG